ATAATTTTGATCTCACAAGGTATCTAGTTTGTACTTTCATGTAATTTCCAAGTGGTATCTAACAAACCATGGTGCTAAAGATGGTGTTTAAATAGCAACTTTGATTGGTATCACATTTCAAAGGTCCATTCTTTACACCCTAGCATCATTTGGTAGACATTACTTCCCCACACTTTCAATCCATGCATATGTGCAAGCTTTCAAATCTAAACTCTTAGCACATATATAGAGGGAGCTAATGCTACTAATTTGGGTTTATGAAACTTGTCCATATCCTTTACACATGGTAAAATGCTTGGGCAAGCAACATGAATCCAAAAAGATTTAATTGAATATATTTGTGAAAATGTTGTCATCAATTACCAAAAAGAAAAAGATTCAAAGCCCTAGTTTTGTTTTGGATAATTGATAAAACCTAGAACTAACCTTTGTCATGAGTGATGATTTGAGCAAGGTTGGTACAATCCAAGTGGTGGAGTTAGATGATGGTCATCGAGATAAAGGTGACCTAAAAGATGATCAAGTGCTTCACATTTGGAAAAGAAAAAATAGAAAAACAAAAAATGGACTCAAAGCAAAGGTATATTAATAGGAGCCATTTTTATTTTGCACTCAAGACACCATAGAGGGTGTGAGTGATTTAGGATCGATAGCCATGCTATAAAGAGAAGAATTCTTTGGCTAAGCGGTTTATCGAGTGCTGCTAGGTGACATGATTCTTGCATATACACTCGGGACCTAGTGTGCTAACATTAACCCTTGAAAATGCTTGGAAAAATGCTAACACACGTGCATATAAGTTCTACACTTTGTGGTTAGCAATATAGAAGCAAGAATGAAGTGGTTGTGGTCTTAGAAAAAGAAAAGGAGGAGTTGGGGAAGGACCAGACGCTGGCCATGGAGTGGACCTGCGCGTCCGAAACCTAACCCTAGCCTTCGGGCTGTAGTGCAGAGACGACCGGATGCTGGACCGGATGCAGAGGGCGCGTCTGGTCAGTGGTTCTAGAGAGGGCAGCGCTCGGCTTCGCTATCGGACGCTAGCGGCAACTTGTGACCGGACGCGCAAGGGGTGCGTCAGGGCCATGCCGACGTACGCTGGCGTCAGCAGCTCGCGTGTGTGAGACAGTGAGGACCGGACTCTGGCCCGAGTCCGGTCACTAACGAGCGGGCGCGTTTGGAACAAAAACGTGCTCTAGATGCTTTCTGATGTTGACCGGATTCTGGCAGCGTGGCGTCAAGTCGATTCGAGGGGCGCGTCTGGTCATCCTTTGACTGTAGCGTTGACCGTTATGTGTCCGTTGGAATCGAATGTACTAGATTCAAAGGAGGACATAGGACGGCATCGGTTGACCGAACTTGGGCGACCGAACGCTGGGGCAGCGTCCGATCGATGTGTCCGGTCATGCCAGCGCAGAGCCAACAACTCTTTGGTCTTTGGGGCTCTATAAATAGAGCATGGCCGGCTTGGGATTCACTCTTTTGGCACTTTGACATTCCTAGCATCCTTGTGAGTCTAAGTAAACACCTTACACTCATCTCCATCATTGATTCATCATCATAGTGAGATTATGAGTGATTTCTAGTGTATTTGCTTAAGTGATTGCATCTAGTGGCACTTGGGGATCATTGTGGTAGCGGAGTTCTTTGTAACTCTTGGTAGTTGTCGCAACCTAGATGGCTTGGAGTGGCGGTGGAGCATCGGCACGGGTTGGTGATTGTTCGTGACCGTCTCCCGGTGATTGTGAGGGGTCTTGTACCTTCCCCGGCGGAGCGTCGAAAAATAACTCTAGTGGATTGCTTGTGTCATTGAGTTACCTCACTTGTGGGTAGGTTCTTGTGTTGTCTAATTGTATGGACGAGGTTCGTGCAATACCTCTTAGCCGTCGAACCACCAAGTGTTGGTCGACACAACGGGGATTAGTGTGCCGGAAAGCACTTGAACCTTGGGAGAAAAATCTTGGTATCCATCTTGTGTTTGGATTTCTCCCAGTGACTGGTTGTCATTATATTGTGATTGATTCATTCCTCGATACAACGGTATAAATCATCCTACGCATTCTTTACATTCTTGCAAACTAGTTGTCAAGCTCTTTAGCGTAGCTAGTCTTTGAGAGTTGGTTAGTTTGGTTAGTGTGACTCTTTAGTTAGTCTTTGAGAGCACACTAGCTTAGTGAGTAGTGACATAGCTTGTTATGTGCTTAGTGATCATAGTAACTAGAATTGTTGGGTAGGTGGCTTGCAACCCTTGTAGAGATAGAATAAAATTACATTACGGCATTTATTATACTAACCTCTTTATACTAATATATCTATAGAATTTTTTATAGGCTATTCATCTCTCTGATTATTTAGGACCTTTGAGCGTCGTCGCCAACCCCAACTGGAAGGGACACTTCATCGTCGCCGACCTCCGAATCGTCGACCAGGATCTCATCATCTTCCCCAACACCACGGTCGTCAGGGTGTTCGTCTACTAGAGTTCATTGTCCATGTCCTCCACCTAACGCAGGCCTGGCACTAGACGACGTCGTCTCTCACAATGGAAGGTTGTGGTAGATAGACAATTCCCAGGAGCTCGTCTACTGGCGAGGAATAAGAGACATCCCACATCCGCCTCTCGGATCGTGAGGCCATCGGCGAGGAACATGCTGCTGGCGACGACCACGACGACACCTACGTATGTACACCACTACGTGCGGCTCAGTTAGGGGTCGCTCCGCTACATCAACATCCGCCAGCCCAACCAGCTCAAACGAATCGCACACGCCGGCCACTGCGCCGCAGCATTGGTGGTCGTCACCGGGCGCACGCTCACGGACCCGTTGCTGGAGGTGTTGACCACCCTCGACTACGAGTTCAAGTTCACCGAGATCTGGGCCACGAACAGGTACGAGGAGGAATTACTACCGACGAAGAACCCTGCCTTCGCGCTCATCAATCCCGAGAACCCCGACGTCCTGTAATTTTTCATCTCGACAACTGTATCTTCGGCGTCGACGGGCACGCCAAGACGATGGAGGGGTGAGAGCGCCACAGACTCGGCAGCAACCCCTCTTCTGCCTCCGTCTGTGCGTGGATGGTGCCGCCCGAAATCAGTATAAAACTATAAATTTACTCGGCTTCTCCGATCACGATCATCAGATTCAAATCCCCTATGCATTGCTACCTCTGTGGATTCGCAGCTTTCTCTTGCGTGATTTGGACATGACGGGTTTAGTTAAAAGGCATATGAATCCTAGATGCAGTGTGTTTCAGCTTTAGTTTCAAGCAGTGCATACGGTTCATCACTAGTCGCAAGTAGATCATCATTCATAGATGTTCAAGTTATAGAGCCTGCGATGCTACCTGGATGATCTAACAGTTGCCAATGCATAAGTTGCAACTGATTTTTTTTGTTTAGTTCTGGTGTTAAGAATTTCTTTAATTGTGATGTTTACCACTTATAGCCTAGGAAATAAATCTGGAACTGCGCATGAGCTCTTATATACTAAAACTATTACTCCATGGTTAGTTGGCTGTCTGATATCCACAATCCTGTAGTATTGGCATCATGGAAAGGGTTTTGTCAAGAGTTGTCAAACTACGGCATTTAACATATAGTGCATCATCATTCCTTTCTGTCCTTGTAGATTTGTGGAAGGGGTACTAAAAATGGAAATCACAAGCTTTCTGCATGGATAGTAAACTTTGCTACATGGATATCTTTCTGCATGGATTGATAGAAAGCATAATGCTCAGATACACGTACAATATTGCTAGTGGTCAAGGTATACACTTCTAGGATATATGCCCAATTTACTTTTCCAACATTGTGTTCACTGTTACAATAATTTCTCCTAAGATCTGCTTTCTGGTTTTGTGTCCCGGCTGTTTGTGTTATGAAAACTGCAATGAAGAAACGATTTCGTGCTCAGTTTTTGCATGGGTAGGATTGTTGTGTAACTTTCAATCGGATTCGTGGAGTTTATTATACGTACTTGTGTTTTGTTTTGGCGCCGTTCTATGTATCCAGTCCACCTCACGTCTTTGCTTGCTTTCCTGCGCGTCTCCGCGCCTCGCCCACCTCACGGCCCTGTTCGTTTGTCTGAAAAAAGAAACCAAAATACTGTAGCAACTGGTTTTGTGAGAGAAAAATACTGTAGCGGCTAAAAGATGCACTGTAGCACATGAGGGGAACAAGCCGAACCAGCCGGCTGGTCTGAAACTTTCAGACCAGCCGAACGTGCCCACGGTCTCCATGCGCGTCTCCCCCGCCGACCCGGACCCGCACATGAGGATCCTGTTACCAGCCCAGAACCGGTGGATGATGCAGGTGCGCGGGATAGTTGATAGTGAGACCGATATTCTTTTACAGGCAGGTCCACATTTTGATGTAAGGCAGGACTCAATTATGCTTGAAAATTCCAACATGGATTCATCACACATGAGGCGCATTCCACAATTCCCCCCAATCTGAACCTCAAGAAAGTAACCATCATCGGATTCTGCGCCGCAAAGAGCTTGATTGAGCTAACATATCATCAAATCCTCAAGAGTTCCTCGTCCCTGTAACGCCTTGTGCTGGACACTAAAACTGGCTATGATAATACAGGAAACTGAGATTGATTGGCATAGCAGTCTACAGGAAACCACAAGCAGATACGGAACATCAACAAACTAGTTAAACAGCACCATCAGCACCATACACTTATATAACAATGGAATTCCTTGCTGCGTGCTGGATAATTTCATCAGCATAATTCATACAAAAGCAGAGGCTGCATAGCAAAAGCATATATATTATAGAAAACAGTGCAATTCTTTCCTGCCTGGTGGGAAATTTCACCAAGGAACAGAACCCATTGAATGACAAGTAAACTGAAAGCCCCAGTGTTTGCTCACAGATGAAGTGAAAATCACCAAAACCCTGACTGTAGTTCGTTTTATTACAATTGATTAAGACCTAGAAAAGGAACTTTGGCTTCATGGTGGCAACAAGTCGCTGAACCAGCTTCTCCAGCCTACTCAGTGGACTTGACGATGAAGTTCTGGCGGCTGATGGGGTTCATGACAACCGGTGGCCCAGCAGTGCGAGGCCAGGCCTGGAACTTGGTGTCTGTGGCCTGCCACCACTCCTTCTCAGAAACAGTCTTGGGGGTGGAACCTGTGTGCCCACAAAGATTGAAGCAGATTAAATCCAAAATCTACAAGGATTTGGCACAGATCTCCAACATAAATCTAGTAAGGATGACACTAACCTCCAAATGCCTTCTTGTCAGAAACAAATGTGTCACACAGGTATGCAATGGCAAAGGATCCGACCAGTGAGCCAACAATGTAGCCAGCTGTCATTTTTGCTGCAAAAGGATGGATTGAGGTACAAACTATTAGGTCTGGTAAACCATGAATCATGAATAAATGAGTCACATGTGTAGATGCATTGTAGAGAAGACAAGCCTAAAGATTGTTCCTCACAAATAACTCAAATAAACAGAACATACAGTCCAGCAAACACATACTGGTCGACCAATAGCCAACACAAAAGCCAAGGGAAGGCGTAACTTTTCCTTGATAACAGAAAGGTTTGCAGTTTTTCCAGCAACAAACAAGTGAATCCTGATCCTTAACAAGTTTACCTTATCATTGTATCCAACATCTATTTTCATTATGAAACAAGTGTTACTAATAATTTTCCAGGGCTTATAGTGACAGTGTCACATACAGGGAACAATTCAAACCATGATGAACATAAAAACTTCAATGAAATAAGTGTTAATAAGAATCTCAGCAGACATAAAGTGACAGCGTTAATATGAATCTCACCATACTTCCATCTACTTATCAGGCCAAATTAACATTACACCAGCATTTTTTTTGTTCACAAAACATGCGTCAATATGAATCTCACCAGATTTACAGTAACAGTGTCATGTGTAATGTGCACGGTACAATTCAAATCACGACAACATCTATATACCTAGCTAAGATCAAAGAGCGAAAATTTCTCTCCGCCCGAATTTTCGTCACTTTCCCACTCAGCCACCAGCACATGCAGCGCTTCCAAATCGACGAACAACAAAAGGAAACAAAAATAAATCGACTCAAGTTGGGTGGACGGATCTCCAGCCCAGTGGACGACGACGCCGCCTCCGCAGAAGCACGCGAGGTGAAGTTCTGGAACCCCACGCCTAGCCCCAATCGATCGGATTCGCACAGATCTAGCAGCTCGATTCCCACGGACCCAAGACGCCAATACCCGACCTAGGAATCGTCCGCAGCTACCGGAGACTAAATCAGATCACAAGATCGGAGACCCCAGATGCCTGGGAAGGGGACGAACCAGCGGAAACCAACGGGAGCAGGGTCCGGAGCAGTCGTTACCTGCAGGGGGCGGCGCGGCGAGGCGGGGGCGGGGACGAGGGGCTCCGGCGAGCGGCGGCGCGGGGAGGAGAGGCGCGGAAGGAATGGGGGCGGAGACGAGGGGATGCGGGGAATGAGATCGTCTGCAGTCGCGCAGAGCGACTTATCTCTGCAGTCGGCGCATCGGAGACGTTCCTCACGATCCAACGGTGACCCCAACTAAACTCATCTAGCGGGCCGTTCCGATGGCCCATCTCAGCCCAAACATCGCACTCGTCTTCAATCTCTTTCCCCTCCGCCATTGTCTCCCACATCGCTGATGAGCCCCGATGCCGACATGAAGTATGTCTCTCTCGCCACGGTGCTCCGTGCTCCAAAGATCGCCTTCCCTCACCTCGTCGCCTTACCTCGTGATTCAATGTTCCCAAAGAATGACGCTTGCTTTTGCAACTTGTTGAGGGTGGTTTGGTTGCCTTTGTGGCTTTGTAGAGGCATCGATGTCGGACGAGCGCGACTTCACCGTGGTCATTGCGTGCTCGTTATACCGCTTAGCTTGATGACATCACCATGACATAATGACTATGTCATATACTCCCTTTTCCCCTTGAAAATAATTTCTAAAATACATAAATACATCTACTCATCCTCTTATAATGGCACAAGCACGCCTAGCAACAAAAACGTGAATGTAGATCACCGCCCCCACCTGCAGCCTCCTCGGAGCTTTGAGCTTGTCTGTGCGGGTTGTGGAGAGCTTGTCAATGCGTATGCCGTGGGTCGAGGGCGAGCGCTTTCATCAGACATCGACAATGACGCGCGCCAAAAAATCCATCGACCCGGGTGTCCTCGCCATTGCCGCGGGGCACCGGAGCTCGCCCGCAATCGCCAGACGCACACTAGTGAGACCGCTACCGAGCGCGCATGATGACTCGAGGAACAGTCATCGTCTTCCTTCACGCAACCGCGACCTCGTGCCGACCTAATCCACCACCCGCTGCCATGCCACAAGCCCCGCGCAAAGGGTCAAGTTGAAAACGAGGAAGACGAAGGTGAAGTCGCTCTTGGGCCGAGATGGACCGAAAAGCTTTGTCTGCAGCTTATCCAAATGCGGAAGTTTTGAAGCCTCACCGTTGGATGAAAAATGGACGACAGACTCATGGATCGAGAAAAGCAATACCAGCCGCCGACCGCAGAGGATCTCGCCCGGATGCGGCGGTGTCAAATGGGCTTTTGTGGCGATGACCTTGGGGGGCCGGCTTTTGGGGACGCCACACCGACACGTGGGGTTGCCTTGCGCGCCAGCTTCCGGGGGCCATGTGGGCCCTTGCTAAGGGATTGCTTCTAGCCCTTGAGGCCCAAAATGATCGGTTGTTTTAGGCCCAAATAAATAGGTTGTTTATTATTGAAAAAAGGTCCATCTAACCTCACTCAGCTATCTTGAAAAAAGGCCCGTGCTGGAGCGGCACGTGGCGCAGCTCGCGAGGTCCGTCCACGCGCTCGCTAGATTCGCGGTGGCCGTCGGAGACCAGCGCTCCCCGCAGGGCGTGGCGGTCACCAAGCGCCGCCCCGTCTGATCCGAGCGCTTACACTTCGCGGCGGCCGCGCGGCTCGAGGAGGGCGCGTACGCCGCGGCGGCAGCCGCGCTGCCGTACGAGGACGCCGACGGCTCACCAAGTACTTCGTCGTCGGGGACTCGCGGCCGCGTCTTTGTCTTCTCCACTGCGGGCGACGCGCTGCTCTAGCTCGAGGCCGCCGCCGGAGGACGCGGCGAGTCCCGGGTCACCGCGCTCCTCGCCTACCTCTCGCCGCGCCGCACCGACTGCCTCCTCTTCACGGGCCACGTTGACGGCTCCATCGCCGCGGACCGCTTCATCGAGTCGTCCCCGCGCGACGACTGGCTCACCCTCGCCGCCGCCTCCTCCCGCCTCCTCGTCTGCGGCCTCGACGCCGCCCCCGTCGTCCACCTCGAGGCCCACCACGCCGGACGCGCGCGCTACGTGCTCTCCTGCGACGCCGGCGGCCGCATCCGCGTCTTCACCGAGAACGGCACCACCATCGCCTCGTCCACGCCTCTCGCCCCTTTGTGAAGCAGCGCCTCCTCTTCCTCACCGTGGCCCTCAGAGGCCCAGCACGAGGCCCGTTTTTTGTCCCGGCCCGGTGGCGAGCGGGCCTGGGCCATACTCCAGGCACGTGGGCCGGCACGGCACAGCCCGCTCCACAGGGCGCGGCCCGGCCAGCCGACCTGCTAAGAGCCGCGGCCGTTAGTGCCGGCCTGCTCCCGTAGCCTGCCCGCCCCCATCCCCTGAACCCTTAACACCCTTCCCATCCCCCCGCGCATCCCCCTCCCGGCCTCCCCACGCCGCAGTGCTCGCTCCTCCTCTCACCTCTGCGCCGGCGCCGAGGACGCACCCGCACAGCCGCACTCACGAATTACGATTCGCGACGCGCCCAGCTCCCCTCCCTCCCCGCTCCCCACTCGCAGCATCTATCTTCTCCCTTGCTCCCTCTCTTCGTTCGCCGGCCAGGTGAGAGAGCACCGCGTGCTCCCTTCTCTTCCCTCCCCGCGCCGCACGAGAGCCACGAGCCCTTGGTGCTCTCGCTCGTCTCGCTCCTCCCCCGTCCCGCACCTCCTCCGTGCTCTCGCCGGCGACCACCACCTCCGCGTCTCCCGCATTACCGTCCGCCTCCTTCACGCCCCCAGCACCGGCCTCGAGCGCGCCGGCGGCCGCCCTCCTCCTCGACGCCCCCCGCGCGGCCGGATTCGAGCGCGCCGGCGGCTGCCTCGAGCGTCTGCTTCCCCTCTGTTGGGCGTTGGCATTCTGTGGGCCGCGGGTCGGCACGACCTGCTGTTTTCGCCGTGCTTCGCGGGCCGGCCTCACTTTTTTTTTTTTGCTTCGTGCAGCGGCAAGGTGGCCGATACAATGCCATTACCGACCTACCATTCGTTGGCAGCGCCTGTCAGGAAGCCTGTCGACAAGTTTGCGCTCCTCCCGGCCTTCCTCAAGGTCAGCATGACGTTCTCATTCAACAGTGCTGCCTGTTGATTTATTGTCCAACAATTTTGTCACACTCAGTTTTTAATGCTCCCTGCATTCACGGGGCGATCAAGCAGTAGGCATGTGTTAACCCGATTATTGTTACCATGCATGTTTGTTACAGTCATATGCACATCTCAGCTCCTCGCTCTGTTTGCCGCAGATTAAATTAGCTCCTTGCTCTGTTCCATACTTGGGTTATCTTGTATCTATGTCTAATTCATGACTCAAATATCAACTCATGCACATGTTTTTTTTATATGCCAACGACTATTCAGTTTGAAGCTCGTGTTGCTTTGATTTATTTTTTTTCTCTCTCTCTCTGATGGAAACACCAGGTTAGAGGGCTTGTGAAGGAGCACATTGACTCATTTAACTACTTTGTCGACAAAGGAATCAAGAAGATCGTTGAGGCAAACAATCGAATTGAAGCGCGCAATGATCCATCCATTTACCTTAGGTATGCTCGTCAATTTGTGTAATATGTATTCTAACTATATTTTTAACTATTGTTATTAAGTATGTATTTTGTTGGTCACATTGCAGGTATCTTGATGTGCGTGTTGGCATGCCCTCGATATATGAAAATTGTAACGTTGAATCTATCACACCACATCTTTGTCGCCTTACTGACCGCACGTAAGCCTTTCATTTCCTCATATTTTGAACGTAAATTCATTTCCGTGAGTGAGTTGGATTTTGGTGAGATCTGCATTAGATTTTGGCCACCTAGGGAGTGAGTTGGATTGTTGGAATCCGTAAATCCGATTTGTGATCTGTAAACTACAATCTTGTTTGATGTTGTTGTAAGATGAGTTTTTTTTCAGTATTTTGTACACTTTTGTTTTGTCGATTTGAGCAGTTCTTTTATCCTATAGCGGGGATGGGGATCCTCGTCATGTACGTAATAATCCCTGCTGGGGAACGGGATGGGGAGAAAATGTCCCCGTGAGTCTTAGCGGGATGGGGAAATTTTCACCCCGTGGGGACGGGGATGGGGAGGTTGAACCCGACGGGGAATTCCCCGTTGCCATCTTTAAGTGGTCGCTTCTACACCAAGTTCCAGGATGGTACAATCACTAGTACTTGGCTGCCACAAACCTTAGTCATGGCAGGACGGCATGTGGAATGCTAGGATGGTTGTTGAAGATAGAGTGATGTGGGAAACTCAGTCAATCTGACTTGATGGAATTTTTGAATGGGTAGAGAGGTAGGCAGTTAATTTTTCATTATGCATGATAGCGCATAGTGGTGGGAGATGTTTCATGAAGCACCAAGGGAGGATTGCTCTTGGTTTGCAACGTGAAAGCTTGACATGCTGATCAATGGTGGCATTTGTAGATCTGTTGAACACCAATAGCTTGACTATCTTGGTGGTACTGTGGTGGTTTATGTTTCTAGCGCATGCTTCTGCATGTTCAAATTCTATATGACCTATCGAGTTGTCGTGCTTGCTCAAATTTCCTTTATTGTTTCAGTTATTCTGCTCCTATAGAAGTTGATATCCAATACACTGTTGGAAAGCAGCATGTAGTGAAAAGAAGGGTACCTATCCATCTGACTGAAAACCCTTTTGTTTGTTTGATTTGGTAACTAAGTTGGCCTTCTATTTTCCTTTTTTCTTCAGGATAAGTTTATCATTGGCTACATGCCTATTATGCTAAGAAGTCGTGCCTGTATTCTGAATGAAATGGATGAAGCTGAACTAGCAAAATATGGTATATTAAATTCTTGTCCCAAAAAAAATATTTTCATTACTAAAACTTTGTAACCTTTTGTCTTACTTGCTGTTTTAATGGTCTCATCAATATGTTATGCCAGGTGAGTGCCCTCTTGATCCTGGTGGCTACTTTGTTGTCAAAGGAACGGAGAAGGTAACAGAAAACAGTGCTGTAATTTTCTTCTTTTCTTGCTGGTTTGATGTGGTCCGTGTTCCGTGTGCTACGATTGATTGCAAACCATAGTTATGGCCATTAACTGCTCAATGCTCTTGTAGTTGCTTCTTGTGTGTATTAATGATCTTGTGACATATTAATTTTCAGGTCATTCTAATTCAAGAACAGCTATCAAAGAATCGTATTATTGTTGACACTGATAGCAAAGGAAGGTTTGATTAAGTTATTTGATTACTTCAGAATATACTATTTTTGTTTGGCAACTGTAACATTAGACATTTATTGTTTTCCTTACTGTCATACACATCAAATTAGGGTGATCGCATCTGTTACCAGTAGCACACATGCAATAAAAAGCAAGACGGTGATTCTTATGGATAAGGGGAAGATTTATCTACAGCTGAATCAGTTCACCAAGCCAGTATGGTTTATGTACTCCATTGTCCTGTTAATGAGTTTTTCCACTTTATGTATCAATTCATTTTGGAATACTTCATTGTGTTAATTCATTTTGAAATACTGGGTTGATTGGTGACATTCTTCATTTGAAGCTTTGGATATTTTTTCCATTTTTCTCAAACATGCAGTATATTAGGAACAGAAGATCAAATGGGAACACCACAAAGTTAACAAAGGCCATACTAACATGCTCCTACATGCACAAGCTCACTCAACCCTAAAACAAATGTGTGCAGAGCTGAACTTAAATCTCAATTCTCAAATACACAAAGCATTAGTTTGTGCAGGCCTTTTGGTTCCATTATTTTGTAACAATTGGGGGTTCGTTTGATTCTTTCGAAATGGTAGAAATAGCTATGGGATGGCTGTTTGATAGGAGAACCCGTTCACCTATGAGCAATGGAATTTCCTTTGTTTTCTTAATTGCTTTGCATTGGCAGAATAGGACAGTCCTCCATGATTAAGCTATAAATCCTATCTTAGCAACTAGCTGAGTGCCTCCATGATTAAGCTATAAACCCTATCTTAGCAACTAGCTGATTGCCTTACTTAAATTTCTAAAAGTTCGCTCTCCTAATGTAATCAGGATGTCATGCTTCAACGGTTCAACCTATTCCATTCCTACATTAAATCTGGTTACTATATATATTTGACCCTCCTAAATCTGAGAGAGATTTAAGGGGTCATAGATCTTAATGATATTACATGCACTGCCTGAGTTGGACAATGGCATCAGTGTGTCACTGTTCAATGGCCACAAGCCCACTTGTTAGTCATGAGTTTCGGTTTATTTTTACATTTTATAAATGCTTGTAATGTATTGAGCTGACCTTCTCAAATTGAAATGATTGGCCATCTCATTTCATATATAGCAAGTTGACCTTAGTTGCCTTATCTATCTTTTGATTAACACTTGATGCCTCTGTAATAAATGTGTGCGAGTTCTTTGGATCCTAATATAATATTGAATGCCTAAGTTGGTGGGCTATCACTCTATTTCTGAGCTTTTGAATTTTGCAGATTCCTATTATAGTGGTGATGAAAGCGATGGGAATGGAAAGTGATCAGGAGGCTGTACAAATGGTTGGTAGGGACCCAAGATACGGAGATCTCCTATTTCCATCTATTCAGGTAACTATTTTTTAAATAGCCATGATAAAATGGATATTACCTCAATAATTGTGAATTTGATTTTAAACCTGTGCTAAGTGTTTATTATTTTTTCGTCATCCATTTTTGTTTTCATTTTTCTCAATAGTTTATTTATATCTTATGTCTCTGGCTAATTAAATGTTTCATTATTGCTTAGGAATGTGCTTCAGAGAGAATATATACACGTCAGCAAGCCCTGCAGTACATGGACGAGAAGGTGAAACACCAAAATAAAAATCATTAACTTAATATCATTGATCGGTTATGCTGTTTAGCCATTCGTCTCGTTTTGAATTATGCCAAACAGACTGGTTTACTGTATACAATTTGTGCAGGTGATGTATCCTGGTGCCACAAATAAGAAGGTAATTGTTGACCACACCTCTCTTCTTGGCTCTTCCATTCTGAAATTGATTGCTAAGGATGAGGGGCTGATGCTGAGAGCTCAGCTTCTTATTAATCAATAAAATTACTGTTGCTTGTACCTGTCTAAAAGTATGCATCCAAAATGCACACCTTTTTTTTTTGTAGTGAAACCATCTATATTTGTTGTTCATGATTTCTCACTTTCAGGAAGGTCGGTCAAACTCAATCCTCCATGATGTGTTTATTGCCCATGTGCCGGTGAGATAAATGTTTTTACTTATTGCAAGCCAAAATTGAAGTTAATGTCATAGCTCATACACTTGCAAATCTCTATTTTAGGTTAAAGATGGGAACCTACGACCAAAGTGTATATACACTGCTGTAATGTTAAGGCGCATGATGGACGCAATCTTAAATTCTGACACCTTTGATGATAAGGCAAGTTCAATGATGACCCATATATCACTTCAGTGAAGGACTCAAAATATTTTTCTGTCAGCTAAAGCTATTTTTTCCTTTACCAACTCTTACTGAAAAAAAATCATGCAGAATCTTGTGTGTCCATATGGTAGAATTAGGTTAGTTCTTTTTTTATAGGGAATTAGGTTAGTTCTGATGCAAGTGGTATGCGATGGGTGGTTCTGGGTCACTGACTAGTTTGTTTATGTGTTTTGGGTTGACCTAGTGACCCAAAGAAAAGGAAAATTACATTCGTAACAATCATTGACTTAATACGGAGTTCTAAATTTGTCTTGTACTCCGACGCCAAGTGCTTAGTGGCGTGAGAGAAAGTGTGTACTCTGAAGGAAGATGGCGGGCTTGGCATCAGATGCTCTTAGACACACAAAACACATGTCTACTGATGAAACTGCTGCACCGGCTGCACCACCCTGGAGAATCATCGTGGGTGGCATGGACAAAAGAGCAAGTTGTCATTGCTGACCTGCATGGAGTGCTCACTGGAAACCATTGGGATGCCCTTTGGGGCCTCCTCCCGGCCTACCGTCAGATCTCACATGTTCAGGTGGGCAATGGGCAAGACACCTCATTCTGGAAAGATCAGTGGATTGGCGACCAGCCGCTGTCCTCGCAACTGCCAGCTCTACACAGCCACCTCCTGAGAGAAGGAGCTTCAGTTGAGGAAGTTGTCTTCCGGACTTGCAACACAATTCCAACCACGCTTGAGCCGGCAGGCGGCAATCGAGCTGCGCCAACTGGAGTCCATGCTGTTAGGTGTGAACCTGAGTGACAACTTGGACATGCGCTCATGCTTCTTTGAAGATGAAGACCATCGACTCCACCAATCTCATCTAAGATGAAGACCATTGACTCCACCAATCTCATCTACAAGGCCTCTGTCCAGATTGAAACTATATGCACCTGTCGTATACCTTCGTCTGGCGCAACTATGCCCCACCGAAGGTCAAATTCTTTCCTTGGCTTCTGATTCAGAATTGCATCCAGTGCAAGATCAACCTGAGAAAGAAGAATGTCCTTGACATAGACACCTGTGACATTTGCAGGCTCACCGGTAAGGACGCAGACCCCATTATCTCTCAGTGTCCGTTCACTCGAGCCTTCTGGATGAGAATCGGATGGAACCCGGACATGATCGCCGCGTGTGCAAGAACTGTGGACCTCCACAGCCCCGCCAGGAGTACCCAAGGACCCAAGGAAGCCCTTCTGCTCTGCTGCTGGGAACTGTGGAAACACAGTGACGTGGTGTTCAAGTCCCAAGCACCAAATGTTGAGCACTTGCAGCCTGCAGAGAGACAGCAAAGCTATGGCTGTGCTGCCTACCCATACAAAAAGCCTGTTAAGTTTCATATTGGAGGCTCATGTTTCAGATGTAATCTTACTCCCCCTCTTTGCTGAGATCTGTATGATTCAAGGCTACAATGCCTAACCTTTTACCACCGGAAACACACTGGAATCTTTGGAAATATATTAGGTAGGGACTCTTCGTCCCTCCTGTTGGCTTTCAAAAAAAAAATTGTCTTGTACTTTCTTTATGGTCTACTCTTTCTTGCAAAGAAACAAATGTGCCTTATGTTTATTGACTTAATGAAATAAAATATACCTTGAATGTTAGTGATGGACACATGGAGTGATGGATGGTGATTTACTACAACATTTGTCCTTGAATATTACTTAGAAAAGAAGGGTGAAGATTTTTTGACCACATGCTTATCATCTAGTTGACATATTTTCTTACATTTTCCAGGATTATGTTGGAAATAAGAGATTTGAGCTATCTGGCCAACTAATATCTCTTCTTTTCGAGGTGCATATTTTTCTCATAGTTTTTATTAGATGTTACATTTTTTGTTTCTTATGGTGTTTCTTTTGAAGGATTTATTCAAAACAATGAATTCCCAAGCTGTGGAGCGCATGAATAAAAATAGTGACAAGACTCGCTCTAGTCCTTTGGATTTTAGCCAGGTAATAGTATGCAAGTGCACATTTATGGATATTCATTTGTTCCCATTTTGCCTCCTGTTACTCTTGCAATGTTGTAATCACCAAAAAGGTTCACCTGAGTTCTGAATACCTAATATTGCTGTAATAACCCAATGTGACAGGTTACATTTCTAGCTGTAATATCTTCAGTTTTATCATTTTAATGGCATAACATTGTTATCTTTGGTTGGCAATTTGTGTGGAAGATCTAAGGACCTTGCTGGGGCTTTAATATTTTTCTATTATTATATGCTTGTTTGGGTAACATATACTTCTTGGAAGATCTATTTGTTGACTTCAAAACCAGAGCTTAATCTGTTTTATTACTGGTTACTCTTTTCCAAACCGACACCATGTTTGACAAGAAGATATCAGAGCTTTTAAAACTATTTCTTGATTATTTAAAGTTAAAAAAAGCTGACTGTTGATCGCAGTGTGCACGGTAGGTCGGTAGCACGTGTGGACAGTAGCAACTAACAATGACCCACTCTTGTAAAGTGTGGTTACCTACACGTTAATTTTGGTAGTTATTTTAGATACTAGGGGTTGCCAAATCATGGGATCCTCTCTAAAATTATGCAGGATCGTCTATAAATATACAGGGAGCCATACCTTTTTTGGATAGAGTAAGAATTAAACCAACCCATGCCCTGGCTTTCATGTTACTGCCCTTCACCACCACTACGCTGGTAGCGTCCTTGCTGCGTGTGCCATCCCCTCCTTTTCATAGTTAGAGATGGCTAGCCTATGTGCAGCCACTCCTTTTTCTTCTCTTCTTTCTTCAAATCCCTCTCAAATTTATCATCAAATTACCCCCCTTCCGAAATATATCTGAGGGTGTTGTCTCATTAACCATATTTGTTAACTTAGGATGCTCAGACATGGTGTCTTGTTTATGTAAATGTGTTCCCTTTTTGCAGTTGATAATGCAAGATACTATTACCTTTGGTTTGGAGAGGGCTATTTCCACAGGAAATTGGGATATTAAACGTTTTAGGATGCATAGGAAAGGTGTATCTCAGGTACCAAGTTCTCCATACCTTTGATTTTTATTTATCCCCCAGTTATTTTTTTAAATGTAACCTCTTTTTCTTCTGATTAAAGGTTCTTTCAAGGCTATCCTACATGGCAACTTTAGGCTACATGACACGGATAACACCCCAATTTGAGAAGACTCGTAAAACAAGTGGTCCACGTGCTTTGCAGCCTAGTCAGGTGAAGAGAAATCTTACAATGTTGCTACATCATAGAGACAAAATTTCGTGGAAACCAAGAATGTTAAAACCCATCTGTTCTTCCTATACTGTGTAATAATGTAATAATTTTATTTGTAACAGTGGGGTATGCTTTGCCCATGTGATACTCCTGAAGGAGAAGCTTGTGGATTGACAAAAAATTTAGCTTTGCTTTCTCATATCACAACAGACCAAGAGGAGGGCCCACTGATAGATCTGGTTTGTTATATTTTGGTTCATTTAATTGTATTTTTTGGTGTTGATGTTTTGTGCCTATAATAGTGCATTAATGATCCGATAGGCCCTTAAGACCATGATTAGATAGCTAACTTTCTATAGCAGTTTCATACTCTGTAACAACTCTAGCATCGAAATCTTTAATACCCAAATTGCTATCAAGTGCGCTTTGTTGTTTACCATCTCGAACCTGTTGCATACAACAGTAGATCCTGCAATACCTTGATTGCAGAAGTATATCAACTAATATTTTCATCTTCAGGCTCTTCTAGGAGTTGCATTAGATTTTAAACTGCATTGTACTTTTCTAAATGTTTTCAGCTACAAGCTTTCTCAATCTTTTTTGGGTGTGCTTTTAAATTTCTTTTGGAAGTGCTTAAAATGCATACAAGTACGATCGGTATTGAATATTGTAATAACTACACAAAAGCAACCTTTTGGACACCACAACAGCAAAACTGTACTTGAATACAAAGTTCCTGTAACTAGCCGGACCTTACAGAGCAGCAAAGCAACCACAAACTGATCCTTAGTTACATAAGATACTTGTCTGTTTGCTTTAGTACCTATAACTTGGTACGCTGATTCAAAATTTTCTCACTCTCTTTTCACTTGGTTTCTCTACTTCTATTATAATCAAGTGCATCAGTTTATCTATAATATTATATATCTATTATTCTTATTTGTGTTCATTCTTTACTGTAGTGTTATAGTCTAGGCGTGGAGGATTTATTGTTTCTATCGTCTGAAGAAATTCATGCGCCGGGTTCATTTTTGGTCATGCTCAATGGATTAATACTGGGGAAACACAAAGATCCTCAGGTCTTATTCATTACAGATCGTACATACGTGTTTATTTATTTGACTTTTCTTCCATTATAAAGTTGTGTCTCATGCTTTCAGAGGCTTGTTATTGATTTGAGGAATTTACGTCGATCTAACGTAATTGGCGAGTTTGTAAGCATTTTTATTAATGAGAAACAGGTATGTCCTTTCTCTTTGTAACTATTAGGTTATAACGAATCTGACCATCACGCAAAAGAAGCTGTGTACCTATTAGCTGATATTATCCTAAAAAAACTTGGAAATTAATTTTCAGTTGTTCCTTCGTCCCCAAAACACAACTCTGAATACAAACTTTTTAAAATATAGCAAAAATATACTAATATGAAATTACTTTTTCAAGATTTTCAAGACAAACTCATCATTTCGTGTTCAATTATCCAAACGGAAAATCAATACATGGAAAGTAACTTGTAACTGAACTTTGGATCTGTTGACTCCTGAAACTCTTGTTGGATACCATTTGGTCATGAGTTCATGAGTGAATGGGATTGTGATATAGTCATATAGAGGAGCTAGAAACATTTGAACTTCTTAGGGAGGTAAGTATAGCATAGATCTGGAAACTGATTTCCTTGTTTTTCTGAATTGCATTTTGTATGACATCTTGCTAAGCCTTTAATACTTTCAGATAAGAAAACCTATGATATCATATTTTTCAACAAAAGTGAACAAAAATGGTTGCATCAGCATTTCTACTGGTTTAATATTTTTAAGTTATGCCTTAATCTTGTATATTGCAAATTTGTTGTCCCATGATTTATGTTTCTCATAAGGGGGACACTTTTTTTTTCCGAAGCATAGGCTGAACTGCATCTCATTGCATTAAGAAGGAGAAAATATTTACATTACAAGACAAAATTCACACACCTTACTTGTTCAAAGAATACACACGCCTGAAACTCATAAAACACTCAAACAGAACAACTAAAAATTACCTTTATTAGGCAGCAGCCCAAAGCTGCGCCGAACCTTTTGCACCAGCCTTACACCAGCGGTTCCCTTCAAAAATTCTTCTAAGAACGACCTGGACATTTGGTACAGCACCATTAAAACACAATCGTTTCTGTGTCTCCCAATCGTCCATGCTCCTAAGGTGATCATTGAGTTTACTCCGCTATTCCAATGTCCTGGAATTAAAGTATCAATTCAAAGCCACCAAACACAGAATACCTCATCCTCAACTCGTGGAGGGAGGTCTGGTAAACCAGAACGTCATAAGAGTAAATGCCGTCTAGAGAAGACAATTTGTCAAAATATGTTGAATTGTCTCCTGCTCTTGGTCTCATAATGGGCACTGATTTGGATGAGGCAGCCCTCTGCGAGCAAGTGTATCAGCAGTCCAACACCTATCATGTGCTGCTAGCCATAGGAAAAATTGATACTTCTTAGGTACCCAAGATTTCCAAATAAACTCCCATGGCTCAAAATTAACAGCCCCATTGAAGAAGGCCACATAAGCCGATTTTGCTGAATACTGATTGGATTCTGTGAATCTCCAATGATGGTCATCCTCTGCATTTGGATGCAGCTGCACGATTGTGTCCAAGTCCCAGACATCAAGAAAATCATAGAGGGCAATACCACTACCACCACTTATATCCTGGACCCATCGATGATCCATTAGGGGCTCTCTCACAGTAAGCTGGTTCTCTCTTCACTTTAGGATTAAAGCAAGAAGATTAGGGGCCAAACCAGCAATTGATATTCCTTGTGTTTCCATTACCCACATTAGTAACCATGTCAATTGGGAAAAGGCCCTGACTGGGTTGCGTGTTGGCAAGCCAAAGTCATTACATCCGCAATGCCTATCCAAAGGATTTAAGATCATGAAATACCAAGTCCTCCAAGCTCTTTGAGGCGACAAACTTTAGTCTAAGCAATCAAACAATGTCCAACCTTTGTCTCTTTTCTTCCCTCCAAAGAAAACTTGCAGATTTTTCTATAGCCTTGACCTTGATGGCCCATGGAGGGAGGTCTAGTGCTTAATTGGCTTATAGCTAGATAGATCACTGCTGAGGTCATAACAACTTAACCTGAACCAATATCTGTCCCAAGGAAGGAGGTCTAGGGGGACATTTCTTGAATGTGTTTTTTCCATGTCAAACATGTAATCTTTTTTTACTTGTTATCTGTAATTTAATGCTTTGTATGTTTTTTTTATCAACGAATAAGTTGCAAGATACTAACCTTGGACCTGCTTTTATAGCGCTATGCTCACATTGCCTCTGATGGCGGCCGTGTTTGTCGCCCACTTATAATTGCTGATATGGGGATATCAAGGATCGATGAGACTCACATGACAAAACTGAGGGTCGGCATTTTGAGTTCCATAATTTCTTGACTTGTTATCCTTTATTTTCTCTTTCTCATAAGTTGGTTTTCCCTCAGGATGGAACTTATGATTTTGATGATTTTCTGAGTGGTGGGCTGATTGAATATCTTGACGTCAATGAAGAGAACAATGCACTGGTACATCATGATTCTTTTGCCTTTTTTATGGTTATCCAAATTGTGGTGGTGTGTACTAATATGATTCAAACAGATTGCGTTGTATGAGCACATGGATCAAGATGATGTCGAAAGAAGCAGCATCACACACATTGAAATAGAGCCATTGAGTATCTTAGGGGTTGTATCTGGACTTATTCCATATCCACACCACAACCAATCTCCACGTAATACTTATCAGGCAAGGATGTAGATTATCATTATATATCTCATTGTTTCTTGGTTTATTTTTCTATTGACATTTCACTTATTTCAGTGTGCAATGGGTAAGCAAGCGATGGGAAATATTGCATATAATCAGGCAAGGAACCTCATAATTTTTGTACCAGTTAATTGTTGCATTTTTTTTGTTGTTGAAAAAACTCTCGATTTAAATGCTACATTGGTTGGTTTGGTTGTAACTATTGCATGTATTCAGAATATTCAGAAACTTAAAGTTAATTTTTATATTGTATTTAATGACTTGTTTGATCTTCTGATGCTGTGATATCTGGTTCTATCTTCTTTCTCAGGTTCTTTACCTTTTATGGCAAAAGTAATGTTTTATTTTCTTTTGTAATGCACTGCAGTTGTTCAGAGCAGATTCACTACTGTACTTACTAGTGTATGCACAACGTCCACTTCTAACGACGAAAACTATTGAGTTGGTTTGTGTCTAAAATCTCACCCACACTCGTTCTTGGAATCAGTATGGTGGATATTTTACTGCAATTTGTTTTCAGGTGGGGTATGATAAACTTGGTGCTGGGCAGAACGCCACTGTTGCTGTCATGGGATATAGTGGTTATGATATTGAAGATGCAATTGTGATGAACAAGTCATCCCTTGATCGAGGGTTTGGCCGTTGCATAGCATTGAAAAAGTAATATTGTACTTCCAATCAGTGGCTTGTAGTTTGTTTTGATTGTTTGATTGAAGTGCTTTGCTTTCATGTCTCTAGTTCTGTTGGTCTCCTATATTATTGGTTTTTTGTTTTTTTTTTGAATGAAAATTATATTATTAGTTTTTTTTACATATGTTATTTTCCACTTACAGGTACACAGTTTTAAAGGACAACTATGTAGATGGTGTATCGGATAGGATTGTTAAACCCCAAAGAGATAAAGATGGTGTTTTGATGAAGCAGAATATGAGAGTAAGGATATGGAGTTATCACTGCCCATATTCTGCGACTATTTTTTAGAACTGTTTCATTTTTCTCACCTAAGCATGTTCTAGTTAACACTAACAATATGATTACTTATTGAAAGGCATTGGATGATGATGGAATTGTCGCACCTGGTCAAATTATTCGCAATCATGATATCTATGTGAACAAGCAAACTCCCATGAACACTTCAAAAGGTATAGGTAGGCCATTGACAGACAGGTAAGGATTCTTTCCCCTTGTACTTTTCCTTGTTTATGTGTCCACTCTTCAATTTTAGGGTTATTAAGTTTTGGTCTTGATGAATGCTATATATGTTTCCCTTTCCTGTAATTTTACCATCTAGGTGCTACAAAGACTCCCCTGCCATTTACAAAGGTGTTGATGGTGAGACTACTGTCGTAGATCGTGTAATGCTGTGCTCAGATACAAATGATAAGTTGTCCATTAAGTGTATTATTCGTCACACTAGAAGGCCAGAGGTATGGTTTGTATGCTCCATGCACCTTTTTTTTTGCACGGATGGATATAAAATTTTTCTTTCATGTTTGTATTTCAGGTTGGTGACAAATTCAGTAGCAGACATGGGCAGAAAGGTGTTTGTGGTACTATTATTCAGCAAGAAGACTTCCCCTTCTCTGAGAGAGGAATCTGTCCTGATTTAATCATGAATCCACATGGTTTCCCAAGGTTTTATTTTGCTTGTTATTTGTTTTATTTTTGTTATTTTCCTCACCTATCTCGTTTTATCTGAGGAAGTTTCTTCTCTCATGATCATTAATATGAATATTGTAATTGTAGTTTTATTTTGTAACTGTATACCATCTGAGGTATTTAGCTTAGCTCCAAATTAATATAGAATTTGGGTTCTTTAGTTCATTCTTTGCTGTCACTAACTATGGGGGTGTTAGAAGTTGATGTTTCCAGTAGTGGAGATGACATTATATAGAGAACCTCATGAGCCATATGGGCCTAGTATATGGACCTTGATAGACTTAACACTCCCTTCAAACTCAAGGTGGAAGTGGAGCATCTGAAGCACTGAGTTTGAGCAAGTGAAGCCAATGTTGCTCTCAAGTTTGTGCTTATAATTGAATAAGATTGCCACTTGCAATTTTGAAGGCACATACTGGAGAGATTGCTTTCTGATGAAAATGAGACTGGGTGAAAGTGGCATGCACTAATGTGCTTTGTAAGTTCATGCTTCATGGGATCATTAGCAATCTGTATGGTTCTAGAATTATCACATTAAGAGGTAGGAAATGCCAAAATCAGTTAACAACTAATGAAGCAATACAATCAATGAAGTGGTAGTGCTTGAAGTTCATGCTTGTTGGACTTCCATACAAGAGGTCAAGAGCCCAGAAAAAATGCAATAATTTGTAACAAATGATGACCTGTTGAGTAAGCATGAGGGTGAAGCAGACTGACATGGGCATAGAACAAGCACTGATATGATCGTAGCACATGAAGCAATGCCCAAAATGGACTTAAGTAGGAGCACTGACAAATGGACTCAACATGTGGACTGCAAAAACAATACCACGACCGGTAACAGTATGATAAACAAGGCTGCCCACAGTATGCCGCTATAGAGAGGGATCCTCAAGGAGTATATTTGTCCTATAGGATCCATTGATCATGGGCATGCAAAATAATCAATGCTACAAGGCTTTATATAACTAAATTGGTTTTGCTGGTATTATTATATTTTCTGTGTTTATGCTTATTTCAAGGCTGCCTTACTCTTATTTTGCTCGCTAGTCGTATGACAATAGGTAAAATGATCGAACTTCTTGGTGGAAAGGCTGGTGTTTCTTGTGGTCGTTATTTTCACTATGGCAGTGCATTTGGTGAGCCAAGTGGTAATGCTGACAATGTTGCAGACATAAGGTATACTTTGGCGTTTGGTCATCTTGGGACTGTAGGTGTGTTTATTACTACGAGTTTTAACACCCATTTCTTGCATACCAGCTCTTCTCTAATTAAGCACGGCTTCAGCTATGGTGGAAAAGATTTCTTGTACTCAGGTATACTTGATATCAAATTACTTTATACTTGAGCTTTAGTTATCATGTTAAATCTATTGATTAGATGCGACAAAATTAGAAAGCACTTAACTCAATAGTCCTGTAGCGGACTTGTGGATTGAACGAGTCATTGGTGCACCAATTTGAAATAAGCTAATGTAAAAATATTACGATTAAATTTGGTGTTTATAGAAATACATAATATACAAAAGCTACATTGGGAAAAGGGGACAATCTTCATAATATACAAAAGCTAATGGCTTCAAGTGTACTACACTATTCTAGTCATGTAAATATCTTGTTTCTTGACATGTGTTCTCGACTCATGTTCCTGCCATAATTTTCCAGTCTTAATATTTCTCCTCTCAGGAATTCTTGGTCAGCCACTTGAGGCATACATCTTCATGGGGCCAATCTACTATCAGAAACTGAAGCACATGGTAATGATGGTTCCATTCTTTTGTTCCTTTTAACTTGGTTAGGCTTTGTCTTCTATTGCTTCTGTGTCCTTATTTTTATGCTGGGCTCTCTCTATAACATTACTGCACAAGGTTTCTAAATGCATTCATTACATATAAATTGGTGTCAGTTGTGTATCATGAACAAGCTTTTCTCTACCAACAATTGGTACAAGGCCAAATTATGGAAGAATAGTGTTTTTCACTTGAATTGACTATATTCATCGATGCAGCAAAAGTTTACCAGTCAAACCTCCAAAGTGTTTTTTTTAACATGCTGAGCACGTTTTTCATTAAGAAGAAATAGTGTTGAATGAGTATAAAGTGTTTAATGAGCAACTTCAGTGTGATAGGAGATGACATGTTAAGTAATCTGAATCCACATATAGCAAGATCTGAGTCCAAAACTCTAGGAAAAGATCTAATCAACGATCTGGAAAACATTGTGATCAAGGACAGATTCGACAACGCCTCACATTAATGGTCTGGTCCACCAACTAATTTGCTAAAATTAGGAGGCTACATAATGGATAGTGTTAATAAATTACACAGCTTACCAAAAAAATTGAACGAGAGGCAAGCAGGTAAAAGAAAGGATAAGGTGAGGGGTAGATCAAATTCATTAACATGTGGGGCCACTGTTCTTACCTAAATCCTTCTATCATCCAAGCACTCCCTAATGAAGTGGTAGCGCACATTGATGTGTTTGCTACGCTCATGGAACACTAATCCGCCCGACAGTGCCCAGCCAAGCAGCACAGCAATCTTTGTTACACCAGTGTCAGACTTTGGCAAGATTTGGATGTCTAAAAGTGGATTATTTCTTTTTGGTACCATTCTAATTTTCTTAAAACATGGATTCTCTAGGTTCTTGATAAGATGCATGCTCGAGCTAGTGGACCACGGGTGTTACTGACCAGGCAACCAACTGAGGGGCGAAGCCGTGATGGAGGTTGGCAATATCTTCTTGTGCTGTAGTCATACGGCTATATTTACTAGTACCTGTTGATTATCTTATTCTCATTCTATAATATTGTTTACAGGCTTGCGTCTTGGTGAAATGGAACGTGATTGTTTGATTGCATATGGTGCTAGCATGCTAATATTTGAACGGCTAATGTTGTCAAGTGATCCTTATCAAGTCCAGGTGATATCAGAAGTAGTTTGTGACTTATATTTTTTAGACGTTGGAATGATGCAGGGTGGCCTAAATGCTAATAGTATTATGGAGTGAAATGTACTAGATCTTTGAGCATTTCCTAGACTGTCACTTTGTGCATAAACTCGAAAAGCAAGGATCTAAGTCCTTCAACCTTTGAAGTGGTTCACTCTAAGAGAAATATCACCTCTTGTTAACCCACTTAAAAAGTATGATGAATCGATCATCACTTTGAGGTGACTAGTGCATGTTACTCTATCATATATGTTTTGCCAAAGAATAAATTTGCCTCTTGACCATTGGGCCTCTTGTCTTGAAAGTGGAACTTTTTCAGGACACATAATGTTGTTTGATCCCTACTCCCTAGGACATACCACTAGTTGATTTTGTTTGAGGCACATTGTGGTTTTGTAGTTTGCCCCTAGGACTATCATATAATACAGTTGAGTTATAAAAAGAACATTTTGACCTTCTCCTTTTGGCCCACCTGTCATTTTTTTTAGAACCGAGGATCTTCCCCATTTCCATTACTAGAACGGAAATACAAGCAGTTAAGAGTTTTTAAGAAAGTAGAAAGAAAAAGACCAGACAGCTAACAGGAGTGTGCTTAACCACCAGCGCAAGAGAGGACTCGAACTTAACTGACATAACTACCAGCGACAAAACCACCTTGACAGTCTATCCTGATTACATCACCTCTCAACACAGACCAGATAAAGAGCATTACATCTCTGCATACAGCGTCTTGGTCTTCTTGGACGCCAGCAGCGTCATACTCCTTTCCATTTACACTAGAACAAAAATCTCGTCTACTTGGGCTTGTTTCTGAATTCTTGTTGTATTTTAGGATAAAGTGACAATAAAAATGGTAACCAAATAAAGTGAACACAGAAATTAAAAAAACTAGAGACAATTGATTTTTGTTTTTGTTTACATTCCATAATACTGTTTCTGCATTTGTTTCTGTCAATATCATATTTGATTTTGTTTTTGAGAAAAAAATGTGGAACTAGAAATAGTTTAGGCTTTGAGAGACAAACCTGAGTCTGCTGGTAGGTTTTGAGATGATAAGTGCCGGCTTGGGGAGAAAAAGGAAAGAAAAATGAGAAAGGCATAATGGTCTTTTTAACCGATCTCCAAAATGTTTGTTTTCTTCAGCACCTAGCAAAATCTACGGGTGGGTGTTAGAGACAAACTGTTGTATCAGGTGTTATCTAATTCATATTAGAGTACTGTAATAATGGAGCTAACTTAGCCCAATGGCCAGGCCAGTTGACAATTTCTGTTATTTATGTCATTACTTATTTCAACCAGTATCATGAAGCACTCTTTTTTTTCCCCAATGGGTATTGCTGTGGCCTCACCTCGTGTATGAATGTGAACATTTTTCAGGTTTGCAGAAAATGTGGCTTGTTAGGCTACTACAATCATAAACTGAAGACATCATACTGTTCAATGTGCAAAAATGGGGAAAATATGGCCAAGATGAGGCTGCCATATGCTTGCAAGCTTTTGTTCCAGGTACTGCATAAGAGCGTAATGTATTGCTTTAATCATAGAACCTGATTTATTTTGGCCCTGCAATGTAATTGTTTTTCTAAGACTTCTTCACTGCCACAAAAATTTAGGAACAGTTTTTTTTTCAGGTATAGTACCCATCTGGTGTATGTGCTAACAGATCATTTGTGTTTGAATTTTTGTTAAGATTGTTAAGTTTAGTTCCCAAAATGAATGTAGGTTGTTTTAGCCTTCTCTCTAAATGAAACCATCCTAGAACTTTTTTTTTTGACTCTTTACTTCGTTGCCACCTTGAAATTATGCTACTACTCACAAATGAAGTGCAGTGATGTTTTAAGCCTTATTCACAAGTCTAAAGTGATACGTTTGGAAATGGACTGATCGCATGCATAGGTTTTTTTTTGCAGTTTTTTAGACAATTACATGTTAGAGCTATTTGCATTTTCGTTAATGGAGATGCTGGAGCTCTTTATCACCCCGCCTATTTCTCTTTATAAATCTGCCTGCAGAAAATTCCACAATCCACTTAACCCAAATGAACTATCCTGGTATCGGTCCCATTCCCAAAATGATAAATCTCATTTCTTGGTAGGGGAAAGTAAGCCATACTATGAGGAATTTTGTCAGCGTTACCTTAACTAATTCTGCTAGTACATGTAGGGTATAGCTATGCCATGCTGCATTTGATTTCATTATGTTCACTTGTTTGATTTTCTATTTCAGGAATTGCATGCAATGAATGTTGTTCCACGCTTGAAGTTAACTGAAGTATAATACACGATAGATGCTGGAGCTGGACCAGAACATTGCTATCCAAGACAAAATACCGGGCAAGTGGCTGATTTTAACTGAAGTATGATAAAAACGCCCCTTGTAAATTGAAGTCCTCTTTGATAGGGCTTCTTTGCAACTAGTCAAGAAGCCAGGGAAACCACGTAGGTGCGGGCTTCTCCCGCGAAGGTGTAGCAGATTTATTTCGGCCGCCGTGCAATTGTTGTATATGTAAGCATGCTATGCCTGAATTTATTTCGGCCGCCGTGCAATTGTTGTATATGTAAGCATGCTATGCCTGAATGATATGTGTAACTTTTCCCGATGACTCTATATTATCATATATGAACCAATCTGGGGTTTTTTTTTTTTGTGACGAAAGAACCTAAAACCCATGTAAATTACATGTCCTAAAGTTTTTGCAACCTAATAAAAAATTTATTGTTTAGATGATCGATGAGCACAATAATATTACACTCGGTTTAAGCCAAAGCCATTGAAAAAATAATTATCTCGTGCCTGCGACGACCGGGCGAATTATGGCATGCTTGGTTTCTTATTAGCCTTGCCTTGTTCACCTTGCCTCATCAAGCATTCAAGCCTTGCCACCTTATCAGCCGGCCGTTTTTTATTCCCACCGCACGCACCTTTCAGCGTCGTCTTCCACCTCTCTCTCTCTCTCTCTCTCTCTCTCCGGCGACTGGCGACTGGGGACCGGCGAGCTCCTCCCCGGTGACCTCCTCCTCACGGCCGCGCCCCACCGTCTCCCCGTGTCCGCGCCGAGCTCTTCCTCGCCCCCACGCGCGTCGGCCATGGCGGATCCGCCGGAGACTGGGGACCGCCGCCCCAACCGTACGCCAGGTGTTCGCCGGCGATGAGCACCCACCAGGTTCGTCCGCCCCTGCCTTTCATTCCCCTTCCTGCTTTCTGTAGTAGCCATGAAGTCCCATATTTCTTATTTTTGGTTTCAGGCAAAACTCTTTTGAAGATAAAAGCAAGGATATCATAGAAATGGAAGCAAAGGAAGCCTATGGAATGATACTGAATGTTGTGCTGAAATGGGTTGGGAACAAGTATTTTTTGTCTCTATGTCACCCAGTCATACAGGGTAGACCAGCCAGATGAAACGCGAGAACCTCTTTTTATAATTCTAATTTCAGATGACCTGCACATATATGGTACTGCTTATAGTTTTTCTCAAACCGAAGTTTGTGCAGGTTACTTCAACAATACCTTTGAGTTCAGCATGCATCTGCCTGCTGCCTCGGCAACCAGGTGAGGTTCTATTTGAGATAATTGTTTATTCAATTCTATCTCACATTGATGAGGATTCCTGCACATGATCACAAAGCTATAGAAAATTGGTGGTTTTCCTATAGGGAAAACGATCATACATGCTTCTACCAGTTGATCATTCTATTGATGATCTTTGTGAATAGCTTTCTAGAAATCATTTCCTGCTAAATTGATTGCCTGTGGAGTAATTTCCACTTAGTGTTTTTGTGGCCTCTCTTTCGATCTTAAGGCTCCAGATTAGTTCGTACCCCTTGTGATATGGGCCCCTTGCTTGCCTGATTTTTCTGTGTTTGGGGATATTTCTTGAAAGATTTTAAGCTCACGCCTGTTGTTCCTTATTTTAATTTTAGATGTACTGTTTTTGTCATGGCTGTTTGGACTCGGTTCTTTCTTTTGATCACCTTTTTTGCTGCGCTCATACATTTACCTAACATTTATCTTTCATATGCTCTTTTCAGTCTATACATCTCAAAACACATTTGAGAGTGCTTCAAAATTGGGCAATTCTTTTATGCTGTAGTATTATTGATGTAATTTGAGATATGATCAGCTACTCATACAGTAGGATAAAAAGAAGGCTTCAAAAATACAGCAGCGATTTGTATGTCATTGAGGTCGACTTGCTTTTATTCTGCAAATAGGAATCATGCATACATCTGCAAATAAACCTGTTTGCAAGTGGTGCCACATGTAGTGTATACCTATGTACCCTCCTCGGTTTGTTCCAAACTTCATCAAATGTAATATACACATTCCCAGCATATATCTAGATACTTTGTATTGACCACGCTTTCATCGCGTGCGTTTTGTACTAGTGTTACTACAAAGAGTTGTGCCTGGGAGCCTTGCAGCCCAGCCTTGCAGCCCTCCAGATTATAAAAATCATGCTGCTGCTTGGACTGCAACTGAAATTCCAATCCTAATACATTTGAGTTTCTCCAGGTATGCGAATGATGGAAGGCCCTTTTGGCAATACATAGCGAGTTCATCTACTGGCTGCTCAGATCTACAGTACTTTGGGGTACTGTATCAGCACTATACAACTGAAAAGGTGAGATACAGTGTGCAATCAAAATGGGGTTTGACCTTTTGGTATAGATATATTTGCTAAGCTTATAAAATGTGATATGTTTGCTAGGCTTGGCATCTCTGTGATCCAGATAATGGACGTGTTTCTGAGGCATTGAGGAGGGTTGGTGTCAAAACAGCTATTGTGTCCAACTTTCACACTCATCTTCGGCCACTTTTACAAGCACTGAAATGTGACCGCGCTGTTTGATGCAGTTGCTGTATCTGCTGAGGTTAATGTGCCTTGGCTTTCCTATTTACTAAGTTCAAAGTTCAGCCCATTACATGATTTTTTTTTAAAATAAATTATAAAATTTTGATTCATCCTATACTTCATTCTTTTGTTCTGTAGTTTCTTTCGCGCCTACTCTTCTTTTGTGTAGTACGTCGATTCATCCTTTTACCTAGAGTTCAGCATAGATAACGATGTTGCCTATGCGCAATGGCCTTGCCTTTCATGAATCTCGTGTCACCTATTTCCTAGCAGTCCCATGTGAGCATCTTTGCATTTTCTTAGGCAAATTAAGTGTCATTTGTTAGGCAACCATAAAGGGCGTACCCAGTGCAGAGAGCTCCCGCTCTGTGCGGGGTCTGGGGAAGGGTGTTAGTGGCAAGCCTTACCCTCGCCTATGCAATGCGAGGAGACCGCGACTCGAACCCGGGATCTTCTGGTCACAGGCGGTAAGACTCTACGGCTTGCACCAGGCCATCTGCTCCTAAATATGCAATTTTTCCTTGTTGTTACTAGTAAAAAAAAGGGCCATACCTTTTGTTCATTGTTTAACTCTACTTGTTTTTTTCCAAAATCCGTTGGCTTGCACAAGCTTGTACGAATCTTGTGGAGGCATGTTCCACTTGTTCAGTTTCACTCCTTTTTGGGTTGTCTAAATTTTGGGTGCGTGCGTGCGTGTGTGTGTGTGTGTGTGGGGGGGGGTCATCCATTGCTTACACTTGTTTTTTCCTCTTCCTTTGTCCTTTGCAGAAAAAGTACTCAACACTGCTGTTAGCCAGTTCTGCTCTGGTTAGGCACATTTTTGGTGGACACACATAATTGCTACTAGATTACTAATAACTTGCCTAAACTAATGATATTAAATTGCTTAACTAAATTTTGCATGCACATTTTTGGGTGGTTCTCTACTGCTCGTCTACACTTAGAACATGCACCAATGCATGTTTAGGATTCATCTAGCCTGCTGCACACTCCACCTTTGCTGCACCAGAAAGTTGGCCATAGGTCAACCTTGTTGTCATCTCTATCATGACATGTAGGCAACTTAGTCAAACCCATTAGGCAATAATACTGTAATGAATTAGGCAAAAAAAAACCTACAAGGTTATGCAATTTTTGTTCAATACATGCTATGTTGTGCCTCATGTTTCAATGCATTTACATACACCAACTTTCGATGCTTATATATATGCTATATGACATCTGATTGCTGCAACACTCTAAATCTTTTAACATTTAATTGCAGGTGTCATGGTCTCAAGCATTAACATGGGATCAAATGAACAAAGAGAACCATGTGCAGCAGCAAGTGGGATGTATGGTGCATCAAAATGTGTATATGTTATGTTACTAATGCATCAAGATGTATTTCTATCGGAGTAGTACATACAACATATATGCATGTTAACTAGTAAGAATAACATATAGTTGTAATAACAACAGATCTACAGTAAGAGCATTAGTCATTAACATGTCTGATCATTGTGTGTAATTTTTGGTAAAATGAAATTCTGTGTAACTATGTGTTTCTGCTTGTCACTTTGTGTGTAATGATGTATATTTTTCTACCTGTCATTGTGTATTTCTATGGTAAAATTGAGAAAGTTTCGAGCAAGTTACGACGTCGGCTGCCTAAAACCCAGACATCTCCACATGTGATCACAACTTGTCGATGTGTCTTGTTATCACATGTGGAGATGTCTGGGTTTTAGGCAGCCGACGTCGCAACTTGCTTGAAACTTTCTCAATTTTTTACCAGGGCCTCCACATGTGATAACAAGACACATCGACAAGTTTCGTGATTTTCGGACATCGTTTGGATTTTATATAATTTAAATAAACTTCCCCCGCGAGTACATCGTCATGTTGCGACAACATGATGCGCGACATTTCATGCCACTTCCTGCATACGGCCTCGACATAGCCTAAATATCATGAATACTATTTTTGAATGACCAAATTCCATTATTTCATGTACCGCAGTTCAAATTTGGAATAGTCGGAAAAATTCAATGAAACGGAAAAATTAAGGAAATATAGTTAAAAACTCATAATTATCCCAAATTTTAAAATAGGGATATATTTATCGTAGCAAGTCCCCCACAAAAAAATGGGGTCAAAAAACAAAAAACAAAAAAAAAATTCTCGGGTGCCACCAGGCACCCGCCAAAGAAGCCTTTTGCTTAGGGTGCGGTCATGGGGCACCCGCAAAAAAAATTTAAAAAAAATAAAAAATTCTTTGTCGGGTGCCTAACGGCGTGGCACCCGGCAAAAGGCTGACGACGGTCATGATCAATGCCAAGCCACCACCTTTTGCGACGGCCATATTTTTTAAGTGGTGACCGCACCCCCAAAGAAGACCAATTTTTGCCGATGGTTGGAATTTGCCGAGTGCTGCAAGCACCGACAAAGGCTGCTTTGCCGGTGGCCTTTCTTTGCCGGGTGTCGCCAGGCCTGGCACCCGGCAAAGAATTCCTTTGCCGGGTGCCCGATAAAAAGCACCCGGTAAATTTTTTTGCTCCCGGCAAATCAGCCGTTTCTTGTTGTGGTGACTCGCGATTGTGTCGGTGCCTATAGTTCCAATAACAAGGTCCTAGAGCCAACACTTCTGTCAAAAAAATGGCTCTCCTTTGCTAGCAAGAAAAATCTTGCATGCACAAGCCCCGGGGCACTTTGCCTAAACACCCAAACAAATGGCACCTATTCACATCCTTGCTAGGCAAGTCCTTTGGCAAAACTAGGATAAAGTTGAGCCAAAACGTCGCGATTGAAGATAAATTCACGAGGAAGTGGTATCTCTTTAGGATCAACCTCAACGTCGAGAGATTGGTTAATCAGCAAAGATACAGAGATTTGGTGCCCGCCCAAGAAAGAGACCTAGGTCCTAATAACCCCGCTAAGGCCTTGTTTGGACTCGATCCACATGTATTGAAGTGGATTGGGTGAAATTTAGTTCAAGTTCCACTCCAATCCACCCTAACCTATGTAGATTGATGTCAATCCGACTACATCCAAATAAAGCTTAAGTAGTGATTCAACATGAATTCTACGTCTTGGAACCAGACCAATTCGGGAGCGGCTTTGTGATAATGGGACCAACCAGCAAAAAAACAAAGCCCTAAGGACAGCAGGACTTCTGTGACTAATCAAAGTAAAGAGTACATAGCCCGAAAAACACCTCATCCATTGGTCTACGTCGCGAATATCTGTTTTTTCAGTAATAATAAATCCCACATGAACACCCTGCAGGCTAGATTACGATCTTTGACTGCTGAATCATGACCCAAGTCAAAATCCTATCCAGGAACGAAGAAACAAAGGCATCATGAAAATCACCCTTGAATAAATCCCACATGAACACCCTGCAGGGCTAGATTACGATCTTTGACTGCTGAATCATGACCCAAGTCAAAATCCTATCCAGGAACGGAGAAACAAAGGCATCATGAAAATCACCCTTCAAAAAGGGAAAAAAGGGTCATTGACATTTGACTCATTATTCAAGAATCACTTGACGACCCACCCTCCATCCAGGTACAAGTATCCATCTTCCGCATACACGTAAAAACTTATAATTCCCCAGTAATACTGAAATCCAGAAATAACTCCATTTCATGCCATTTTTTTATTAAAAAATGAAAGGGTGCTTGAGAGCTTGAGGATATCACATACCATCTTCCGCATACACGTAAAGACTTATAATTCCCCAGTACTACTGAAATCCAGAAATAACTCCATTTCATTTCATTTTTTATTAAAAACAATGAAAGGCTGCTTGAGAGCTTGAGGATATCACATAGAATGGTCGTACCTTCAACAAATGCACTGTAAGTGAACAGCTGCTATAAAACTGTTGACACTGTAATTTTGCAAGTTAGTCTATTTGGTCAGCCAAATTGCTTTAACTAATAGTACTCATGTTAATCAGCAGAAACACACGCTACTTAAGAATTTTGACAGGCTGATGCGTGGCGCAGGATGCAGCAATATCAATGATGGAGATCGTCAGGCGGCTAGATTATTTTTGCCAAGCCAAACGTGCATGCATGTTTGTGTGAGGTTTTGCATCTTGAAGAGCCAGACCAGATAGGTGTTCTATGCATGTTTGGAGGAGCGGGACTCATCATGAGGATTTGTACGGTACGTGATTGGTGAATAGAAACTCAGCTGCTAATTATGGAGGAAAGAGTTCCTACAGGTCAAGGGTATATGCAGCATGGAGGTCGGATACTACTTTCATGCATGCTGGAGTGTACGAGTGAAGGAAAAGAAAGCAAAGAAGGAACTCAGAAGGAGGAGAGATCACGGAATGAGATTTTACGTAGATGAATTCTTTGGTTGGAGAATACAAGTTCTATTTGGATTACCTGATACCTGGTACGTCTCGCGTGCAGGGCCAAGCAAGGATTATATTAGGAGGGATATTTTTATTCTAGTATTCGTATGTGATTAGGACTCCGACTCCTGTAACCCTGCCCAAGACCAGGCAGACCCATATATATTATGGGGTGCGGCCGATTGTTTTTTCCTCTCTAGCCAATCGACATTATTATCAATCTATTATTTTTGCAGCATTATGTTTTGTTCTTCCTTAGGACAGGAGTACACGCCGAACCCTAATCTCCATTAGGGATTGGTAATCTTTGTTATTTTGTGTTGAAACGGTCGGCTCTCCTCCACGAAAGCGAGGAACCCTCTGCTAGTTTGTCCTGGAAACTAATCGCTCGTCGTCGCGAAAGTATGATAGTTATTGTGGTGTCTTGTGATCAAATTTTCGCGGCAACAAAAACATGATTTTGTCGACCATCAGATGTCTGAGATAAACAACAAAAGGGGCATTACTACTGTCATGGCTTCCGAACAGGCCACGTGGGCCCTTGGTCAGGGATTGCTTCTAGCCCTTGAGGCCCAAAATGGTCGGTTGCTGTAGGCCCAAATGAATAAGTTGTTTATTATTATTGAAAAAAAGTCCATCTAACCTCACTCAACTATTTTGAGAACCCATCAACTTTTTTTGTAAACCTTGTCACAAAAAAAACTATTTTGAAAACCCAATTTGCTTGTCGCAATGGGGAAACTAATTTTTTATACTTCTTCAACTTTTGATACTGTCACATTTACTTCCCGGAGCGAATCACGTAGCACCACACGTTAGCCACGGGGACATAGATTAAACTTTCACCATAGCTCAATTTGAGGGCCTCCCTACTTAAATGGCATGAATACGAATCCTTATAGAACAAGGATTTTTAGTTAGACCAATAAAATTTAGTTTAGGGGCTTGTTTAGAGGTCTTATTACTTGAGTTGCTCTTAATTAAGAAGTTGGTACCATAGTGGCGGTTGCCATCGAGGAGTATGCGTGATTATTGAAAAAGGAAGAGGCATGGTAAGGGCATCTCCAAGAGTTTTCAAACCCCACTCCGAATCTTGATTTCTTTGGCAAGATTGAAAGAAATCGCTCTCCAATAACTCCTATCTAAGCTCCCAATCTTTCCGCACTTGGGATAATCGACCAATCACACGAAAATACACCCTTATATCGACCAGCCGCGCGCACGTCGCCGTCGTCGTCGTGCTGCTGCACGTCACCGTGGTCTCCCAGTACGTTCTCTGCTGCCTCTACTGGGGGTACACCAGGAGCACGCGCCCGGAGATCCTCGAGGACAGCTTCTTCGTGCTTGGCATCGTCGCGCCGGTCGCCGCCTGTGTACACCGTGTGCAGTCCATTGGGCAAAGGCGACCGGTGCCACGAGCTCGCCGCCTGCTCCGGTCCAGCCTCGGCAGCATCGGCGGCGGCGACAAAGACGACGCAGCTCACCACGCCCATTGTTGGGCATGTCGTGGTGGAGCCAGAGTGGGCCGGCGGCATGTTCGACTGCGGCGGCGACCGGGTGCCTCTCGCTGTCGTCCACGTTCTGCGTGTTCGGGTGGAACATGGAGAGGCTGGGGTTCGGCAACGCGTGCATACCGCAAGAGCCGTATTGGTGTAACCTTGATTAATTCCTTACTATTCCTAGGAAAGATGGTGCCGCTTTATCACAAAAAAACAAGTACTTTTTCTGTCTAAATTATAAGTCATTTTAATTTTCTTTATAAGTCAAAAATATTTCACATTAAATAAGTATACCATAAAAATATAATTAATAAAAAAATTAATGATATTTATTTAATATAATAAATATTATTATTTTATTATATAAATTTTATATCATAGAGTTAAAATAATTTATAATTTAGGATAGAGGGAGTATTAGCGGTGTTTTGTGACGTGTGCTTTGTCTGGTTGTCTCTTTGAAGGGTTCACGTCGACCGACTGTATTGCCGCGCCGATAGCCGGGTGTAAAATAAAAGTATTCCTCGGACACTCTGATCTCTGCATTTTGTCTTTGCATGAACTAGTGGTCATATTTCAACGTTAATACGTTATTTTGTTTGCTACTACTTGAAGCATTCGGTTGATAGTGATCTTGTGGCTTTTTGAATGTAGTAGTAATAAATAGTTTAAGATATTAACTATACTCCTCCTATTCTAAATTATGTCGTAATGGCTTTCATAGCTCTATAATATTTTTGCTACGTATTTGAATATATATTGTATGTCGATATATAATAAAAATCATGTAAAAAATTAAGAATTATTTATAATTTAGAATGGATGACGTATTTAAAATTCATTAGCTTTTATAAAAAAAGCCTATGATTAAACTTATTATCATAAGATGGGCGAACTTTGAACCCTAAAATTCAAATAGGGCCTATTATATATTATAAACTTTTATTCCATAACTAAGTTCTTGGTCAAACTAAGAACAGTTTAACGTCGGAGTAGGACAATTTCAAATTCAAAGCTATTGCTGTTGGTCTCTCTGATTGGTCGGTCCACTTTGGGAAAGAAGAAGAAGAAAAAGCACCAGGACAACTCCAAATCACATCACAGCTCGCCCACCTTCCACTTGCTTTGCTTTGATACTCGTGCCATTTTCCCCCCTTTCTTTTTCATTGGTTTCGCATAGAAACTCCGTCCCGCAAGCAAGCCCGCGTTTAGGCCGTGTTTAGTTGGAGGCCGATTCGGCGCCGCCGGATTCGGCGACACTGTTCATGCACTGTAGCGTTTTGTTTTTATTTGGTAATAATTGTCCAATCGTTGACTAATTAGGCTTAAAACGTTCGTCTCGTAGAGTACAACCAAACTGTGCAATTAGTTTTTGATTTCGTCAACATTTAGTACTCCATGCATGTACCGCAAGTTTGATGTGACGGAGAATCTTCTTTTTGCATAGTGCCAAATTCTGGAAAATGGGGGAACTAAACATGGCCTTAGTTCGGTCCCAGATTTGGCGTCGCCCAAATTCGCGGCACTGTTGCGGCACTGTTATGTACTGTAGCGTTTTGTTTTTATTTGGTAATAATTGTCCTATTGTTGACTAATTAGGCTCAAAACGTTCGTCTCGTAAAGTACAACTAAACTGTGCAATTAATTTTTGATTTCGTTAACATTTAGTACTTCATACATATACCGCAAATTTGATGTGACGAAAAATCTTCTTTTTGCATAGTGTCAAATTCTGGAATTTGGATGAACTAAACGTGGCCCAAAGCGAAAAAAAAGAGGCAAAAAGAACACACGCACAACTGCCTAGTACGTCTACGTACACAAAGCAAAGCAGAAGCCCGTGCACCGCGTCCACGGCGCACCGCCCCTCCTCAGGTGGGCGCCGCCTCCCCCGTCCCCCGTCCCCCGCGCGCTCGTGCTCGTCCACCGTGGACCGTCCGCACACCCGCGCGCCTCGAACGGGACGACGTGGCGGTGCAGACGCAGCTGGCGCGTGGGCCCCACCGAACCAGTGGCCCCCACGCGCAGTGGGCGAAGCGACGCGAAAGGCCGCGGGATAGACGCGGCCCCCGGGAAAAATTCGGTGGAAATAATTCCAGTTCCTCTCCTATGGGCTATGGCTCTCCTCTCCTCCCCCGGTCGGACAAAAAGCCGCTAGATTTTCTCGTCCTCTTTTGCTTGCTTGCGGTTGCGGGCAGCGACCAGCGAGAGACCTAGGGGAAGGAGGACGTGGGGGAGGGAGGGAGAGAGAGGTTGGTGGTTGTTTGGTGGACGAGCGGGTAGGGGAGTAGGGTGGGAGATGGAGCGGAAGGTCGTGGCGGTGTGCGCGGTGGTCGGCTTCCTCGGCGTCCTCTCGGCGGCGCTCGGATTCGCGGCGGAGGCCACCCGCGTCAAGGTGTGTCTCGCCACATCCCCTCTCTCCTGCACCGGCGCGGCGGCCGGGTATGCGCTGCCCCGTTCCGTTCCGTTCCGTTCTTGAGTACAGTACGCCGGTACGGCGATGGCCTTGCCTCCGAGTGTTAGATCTCGGTCGCTCCTGAGCGCGGGACTTCTCGGCGGAGGAGCGGTCGGCGACTGGGCGCGCCGGGGAGCTGAGTCCGCTGCGGTACTCTAGTCTAGTACTGTACTACTAATGCCCTGCTGTGCCGGAGAAAGATTATTATGCTTGTTTGGGGCTATTAATAGGTGATTTTCACGCTTGCGCGTCGAGGGAGTGGACGGTAATGATCCTGAGTGTACCTAGCCGGTATGACCTAATGATGCAACAAGGACTCGAATAAAACCTTCCTTTCTTTTAGGTGTAATATATGCTGAGAGGTGAACGAAATCTGTGAGCCAGTGGCCTTGTCGTAGAAATAGAAATGGTTGGTTGCCATAGTGTGAGAGGTTCAGAGTGCTTCATTGGTTTGATCTTGGTTGCAAGTTGCAACTGATCCATCCCAAGTGATTCGAATCAATCAGGATCTTCCGTCATTTTTTATTGCCTTTTTGTTACCATTCTTCATCTTTGGCCTTTGGGGTCAGGACGCCACATTGCCTTAGGTTTTCTTGCATATTTGTTTAGCTGCATATACTACCTTGATAGAACAGTTGTCCAAGTTTTTTCTTATCTCACTCTTGATGAGATAAAGGGCAGACCCAGTGCCGGAGGCTCTCACATGAGTGGGGTCTAGAAGGAAAAAACCGAGGCAAGCCTTCCCCCCACAAAATATGCAGAGAGGCTGCTTCGAGCCTGCAACCTGGTGACTCAGTGAGACAGCTCTCACCACTGCACCAGGCGTGCCCTTCTCACTCTTGATGAGATAGCTAAAATCATAGGCGATGAGGCTGCATGTCACCCCTGCATACAAATCCTAAGACACATATGTTTATCATTTTTTTTTGCTTCTTTGTGCTATTCTTCTAGATTAAAATGCATTCTTTGTCACGTCTATCGGACAGATTCATGTATGTTTATGCCAATTTGATTTTGTCTTCAACCTAACTTACCATTTTAGAATCTGCAAATTTATTAATAATTGACTGTTTCACTTTATATGCTCTAAATATAGGGTCTGGAAATGGTTGTCATTCTTTTGCTAATAAATTGTACCTATATTTGTGCCCATGTCCAAATGTAACGTTCATCATGTGAATCATGCAGGTTTCGGATGTTCAAACAAGCGGTACTCCTGGTAAATGCATATACCCAAGAACCCCAGCCTTAGCGCTTGGTTTAATATCTGCCGTCTCTCTTATGCTCGCCCAGTCCATCATAAACACAGTCGCTGGTTGCTTCTGTTGTAAGAGGCATCCTGTTCCCTCAGACACTAACTGGAGTGTAGCCCTGATTTCATTCATCATATCCTGGTAACATTCTGGTCTAGAAGTTTATGATCTGTTTTGTTCTTTTCTCATATTTTGTAAACCTTACATAGCCTTTTAGTGAATTGGTTTACCAGTAATAATGGATGTTGAATGTTGTTATGTTATGTTGAACGTCAAACTACACCTGAGTTCTTGGCTGCATTTGACTCGTTTCGTTATTTTTATTTTGCATTAGTGAAGCAACCATTATAAAGAAATAGCGTAGCATTGACATATAAAGAGTCACATCATTTTCTTAAATACATTCTTTGATCTAGTAGCTGCACACTGTTAATTGACTGATGTTTATTATATTCCTTGTAAGCCACGAATATGAGTAGTCTACATGCTGGATCCATATAATAGCTTTTGCATAGATCCCAAGCTTATAGTACCTGCAGTGAAATTCTACGTCTTCCTAGACAAGGATCTCATTAACTTGTTGGATTTAGTAACCGGTGATATATGTGTTTCTACTAGTTTTCTGAATACCAGATTTCGCTAATGTGCTAACCTAAGTATTGCTAAATTCCGCAGGTGTACTTTCATTATCGCATTCCTTCTCCTGCTGACTGGAGCTGCCCTGAACGACCAGAGAGGCGAGGAGAACATGTACTTTGGTAGCTTCTGCTACGTCGTGAAGCCAGGGGTCTTCTCCGGGGGAGCGGTGCTAGCCCTTGCCAGCGTGGCGCTGGCCATAGTCTACTACGTCGCTCTGTCATCGTCCAAGGGTCCTCCGCCGACGTTCGCAACCCCACAGAACCATGGCATCGCGATGGGTCAGCCTGTGATCCCGCAGCAGAGCAGTGAACCGGTGTTTGTCCACGAGGACACTTACAATCGGCGGCAGCAGGTCTCGTGACCACAATCTGTGGTTGGTTCAACAGGTCACCCTAACCAGGGTACCTGATGCAGTTGTGCTTGGTCTGTATAGGTTGCAGGTTAGAACAATAGCAGTGTAGCCTGTTTGTTTGGCTTGTGCTTGTCGTATACGATCGTAAATTTCTAGTCGGAATAATATTTTTCTCTCACACAAACCAGCCAGCAGTACTTCTTCACGAACCAGCAATGATACGAACCAGCCAACTGAACAGGCTATTGCTGTTAGGTAGACTCAGTTTTTTTTCTTTCTTTCTACCCTCTTGTTTATCGAGCTTGTTGATCGAGCGTGCCTGTTTCATCGCTATGGATGTTTGATTCTGAATGAACTGGGTAATGTTGAAGAGAGCTTTGCATCATGTTCAGAGTTTGTCTGTAAACGTGGAGTTTCTTTATGATGGGATGAATGAATACTGAATCATGAATGAAATTGCATCGCATTCGCATTCAGAAACAAGTCTAAGAAGGGACTGTCGACGCCAGCTCCTCCCTGAACAGAGCAACGGTGTCGCGGACGATGTCGCCGGGACGCACCGTCGTGGCGTCGAACTCCGTGACCCCCTCCGTGGCGTCGATCTGCAGCAGGTCGAGCTGGCTCCGCAGCAGGCTCGCCGGCATGAAGTGCTTCCCTTCCGTCGACCTCCGCAGCATCCTCTCGGCGATCACCTCCGTCGACGCCCGCAGGCACACGAACCTCACCCTGCAGGTGGCGTACTCCCCCGGATCGTAGCCGCGGTCGGCGGCGCGGAGCACGTCCCGGTACCTGAGCTGAAGCGCCGAGCAGCTCACGGCCACGTCCTCACCGCCGTCCAGCTGCTCCCGGATGGCGTCCCGGAGCGACTCCAGCCACGGCGCGCGGTCCGCGTCGGAGAGCGGGATGCCCTCGCTCATCTTGGCTGGGTTTGTGCACAAGTTGAGAGTAGAGGCGTTTCAGTTCAGCAGAAGTTCAGAGATGGCAAAAATGGCAGAATGCCAGAGGTTTCAGGTTTCAGAAATGTGATGATGTGAATTGCGTGGTGGGGTGGGGTGGTGTACCTTTGTTTGCCTGGGAATGGTAGTCGTCTGCTTCGATGAAGCTGCAGCCCAAGGCTTCGGCGAGCATTGCCGCGACGGTTCTGCGAGTTCGCAGGCAAGAAAAGGAAAGAGAGATTTAGTTTATAAGGACTGTCACTGGCAGAACGCCGGATGAATCTTGCCGATTTGTGCTATCTTTAAGCAATCTCGACCGAATTCTTGAAGCATGAGCGCAGAACAGAGAGAGGAGGATGAAGGATCTTACGATTTGCCGCAGCCGCTGACTCCCATGACCACGATCGCTAGCCCTGCAACCCAAATTTTCCCCAGAGAGAAGATCAGTTAGCGTTAGCAGTCACCCAATTGCAACCTATCCGGCTCTTGGCTGTTCATCGCAGCAGGTACTGTCAGCACAGGATTCAGATCGCGAGCTTGCCTAGTACGTACGCACGAACAGCCGCTACGCGAGCAACGAGCAAATTCCAGACTGAATCTTGGTTGCTATTTTTACTTGGAGCACGCATGGAGGATGCAGCCTGCCGGCTCTGTAAGGAGCAGGCGTGGAGGCTGTGCTGTGCTACTGACCTTGATACGCGAGGGGATCGGAGCCGGCCATGGCGGGCGCTCCACCTCCTCCTCCTATCCTATGGATTCTCGAGTGGAGGACTAGGGAATGACCAGGCGAAGAAGCCGACGATCAACAACATTTTCGTCAGGTTGAACGGGTCCATATTCTTATTTCCAGGTCCGGGATGCCCAAGTCGCTGACGTCAGCTAGAATGCATGACGGAGGAAGGCGTACAAATCCACCAGCCTGCAGTTTTATTTTCTTTTCTTTGAAAAAGATCACAAACTTTTTGTAGTTTGGTTTGACAGACATTCGGCCTGTTCGCTGGTTGGTGCTGGTATTGGTTTGGGCTGGCTGGTGCTGGTTTTTTGTGAGAGAAAAATACTGTTGGCTGGCTGGTTTGGGCTGGCTAAAACCAACAAGCGAACAATTGTATTTTGTTTCCTTTGAAAAAGACCTTTACCTTTGTAATTTGTGATGAATACAGGCCCGATCTTCCGAGAGGTAGCCGGTAAGTTCGATTTGTGGAGATCTCGACGTTGGCGATCCGGCTTCAAATCAGACACGATTCGAACCCTGTAACCGTTACACCACCGCTCCGTTGGTTATCAACCAAGCACAACTTGATTGACCTCGCCAAGAAGGCTTTTCCTGCAAGCGAATCGAAGAGCACAAGCAAGAAGGTAAAACACGCAATCTGAAATTGCAAATATGAATGACGCGAATATCAATAAAGGGTTCAAGAACTCGGTTCCAAAGGACTAATCGACACAGTGGAGGAGATCAAGAACGGGGGCCCTGGATCACTGTAAAAGGATTTGTCACCACAGTTACAATGAACGATTCAGTTTCTCGATGGAAAACTAAACTCTAAACAAAACCCAATTGTGTAGCAGTGGTGGCGGCTATGTTTATAGTCTAAGACTCGACCTAGGGTTGGGGACGGCCAGGGGTTGGGCGCCCACAACTTGGGCTTAAGGCCCGACACGATACATGGCCAAGTTGGCCCAAATAGGTGACGCAGCACCTTGTCGTGGTCACACAGAATGATCCACGGACCTTCTGGAGCTGGGACCAGATCCAAAACGACGGCGTCGTCGTTCCCTTTCCAACGCATCCAAGAACGGCATCCAAGAACGGCCCGTTTCGAAGTCGTATGAGGAAGTTATGACCGAAACAGTGACGACGTGTCTGCTGAATCCGAGGGTGACGTGGCAGCTGAGTTGGGAACGAATTGCAACTTAGGGAAGACCATGGCGTCGGTGTGTCCAGCGTGGCGATGTCCTCATCAATTTGGTTTAATGATAATTGTCTCAAAGTATCATACGACTAGCAGAGAAGCATGAGCCGTACATGAAACTGAATACTGGCGATTGCCATCTGCTGTCGCTGACTCAGAGCTTATCACACACAGCTTGTCCAACAACTAATCTGGTGCTAACAAAACATACAGGGGTATCTCAAAGTCAATTATAAACAGAACATACGGCGCCCTACCAAGAAACATATCAACGTTGCATGAGAGAGCAGGTCCATCTGATCTAATGACGATTCTTTGGTTTATTTTTCCAATCCAGCCAAGCCAAAGCGGGCGCATACCAACAAAGTAGCTGCCAGACTACGGCTACTTCCTAAACAACCCTGAGCTCTGGAGCGCCTTGCAGTACTCCGAGATGACAGGGGACTTCTTCACCATGTCCCAGATCTTTGCTGAGCTTCTCAGCCAGTCGCGCTCCGAGAGGTTCTTCGAGAATGACCTCGCTGGCCATGACAGGATCTGTAGCCACACGAGTGTTCACGTCAGACTGACTCGACCAGGCCTTGAAGAAATGTGCCAAACAGATATTACAAAGGAAGTTTAATGTTCAGCAACAAATATCTTTATTGGAATGAGTTCCAATTGATTGGATTTTTAATGTAACCTTAGCTTCTCAGAATTAACGAAACCAGTCCAGTTAAAAGCAGCAAACCAAGTAATGCTTCTCATGATTTGCTAGAGTACAGGTGTCAAGGATGATTAGATGAAACTCTAGGGTTTAGGAAGGAATGGCTTGCCCAGACTTATTTACATAAGAAAATGTTGTGTTAGATTTTAATAGAATCTTAATCAGTCAGTCCCATGTAACTGACACATTTGCGAATCACAAGCTAGGGTTTGTAAGTCTATTGAATATTCCCTTCCTATTATGCAAACTCCTCAGTGTAGCAACCATACCTGATCACGAAGCATCCCTAGCATGCACGAGTATGTTCCATACTCAAACTTTGTCGAGTTATCATGTCCTCTCAGGGGAAGGAGAAATATGTCCTGCCGACCGGAGGTTAAATCTTCAACTTTGATGCTTGAAGAAACCAGCGAATCAGAAGCTTGAACTGTTGCATTAGAGCTCCCGATTCTAAAAGAGGATGAGTTGAAGTGCTTCTCGAGAGTTTTCCTTAGAAGCATGAGCTTTGAAGGAGAAAAATCTTGTCCCTGCAACCTGTTCAATTAGAAAGGCACAACAATGTAAGGTTCTTAGATTATTTAGAGCAAAAGAGTACAGGGCCGATTTAGGTGTGGAAGTATTACATTCTTGTAACACAGCAAAATAAATGCTATTTTTAAAAGGAAATAGTAAATGCTTTTACCAAGATAGAAAATGCCATACATCTCTTTGTTCAGCAACATAGAAATGAGCATATAATTTCCCTTAAGTAACAAAACAATGATCATGTCAATGGCTAATTCTCACCTAGAATGCACAAAACAGAGATCAGAAATATAGTCTTCACTGCCCAATTGGTCTTCATTTTTGTTTTCCTTGTCTTGGGATGCTGATGACGTTAACACGGACGGATCAGGTATGTTGTGCTTCAATAAATCAACCTGTGAAAATGTATTTGAACATCCATTCAGCCTTCTGTATTACTACCAGGTCCCAAAAGCCAAGTTATTGTAAACTATTTGGGATATGGAAGAAAAATGTGATGGGAGAAACAGGTGTGATGGGATAGGAACATTAGAACGCTAGAACAACAGCTCAATTTTCTTGGAAATTATAACTTCCTCTGTCTTCCAGATGGGCTAATGAAAGAATGACGGAAGGTACAAATTTAGAAGAGATAACTTACTGTAAGCATGAGCTCCCACATGGACAAATCATTCATCCCTTCTGACACGACCAACACTATATTACAAACAGATGCCAAGAAAACACCAAGCTACAGCAATTCCTTGCAGAATAACAGAAAATACCGATCAATTATTAGGTATTTCCAACGAACCAGCAGTAGCACAAGTGAGTTTAATAATTGTAAATACAGTCTTTACCTGGATTCCCATTAGTTCATGAGCTAAGTCTGCTGATAAGGGTTCACCATTAAGGACAGGAATTGTGGATGAACCATCTGGCCTCATCATA